TGTGTGTGTGTGTGTTACATCTAGAAGCTGGCTTTACTATCCAACTGAGAACTTATGAAGAGGAACACTCACTTCTTAATGTATGCACAGAAAATTGTAAACATGTAAAGAACCAAAGGCTTCATGCTGAGTCTTGCTATGCTCCGTTTCCTCAGCATTTTCCTGCTGTCGCTTTAAACCTATCTCAGTCATCTCTGGGTTTCATGAGCAGGAACAGTGTGCTCATAATTACTAACAAATCAACTGGGCCCTGTTGCTCTCTGAGTTTATTGATAAGCTGGAGGAAAGCAGAAGGGAATAAAATACGGGGTTAATCAGCTGAGCTAAGCAGGTGTGAGGGCAAGAGGAAGGTAAGATGATTAGCAAGCTATGAACCAGAAGGAAAGCTGGGAAGAGAAATATGTAGGCTCTGGTCTAGGAGCTCAAAGCTGAGGCAAGGGCAAGGAGCCCGAGTTGAACCGAGTTAGAACCTAAAGATACAAGATAGAATGCAAAAAGGTGATTTTGATACAAAATGGAAATAGAATTTAAAACATTTCCGTTCACCTTGTGAGGCTTGGAGCGGGGTATAGTGGGTAGGAATTGCTAAGATGGAACTGTGGCATATAAGTAGACACAGGCATTTTTATGTGTATATGCAGAGAGATACAGCCCAGGGGAGGGACTAACATATTCTCCCTAAAGGAATCAGCTCCTACCAGCTGAATCAGGCAGTCACCAATAGTACAGTTCAGGAACAGGGTATAAAGTCTTTCTGAAAGCCTAGGTTTTCAAGAAAGTTAGCATCTGGGAATTAGAAAACCGGAAAAACTACTGTTTAAGAAATACTGACTTAATAAGCATAATAGAACCGTCAGTTTGCTGGCCTTGTTTTGTTATTAAAATATTCTAAGCAATGCTAAAGAAAGTATCAGAGATGAGATCTTTTAAATAATTTATTTCTCCAGCTCTCTTGTTGAAACTGCAAAGGGCTATCTGTAATTAGAGTAACTCTTTCCCAAGCTGATGCCATGACACTGGCTATTAGTATAAATTGTATATAAAGACTTGAATATAAATATGAAATATAGATATCAAGAATGCTATGAAAAGAGAAGACAAAAATACATGTGGATACTGTGTACAAGAATTAAATGTCTCCATCCCAACCACTCATTTACAAAGAGATTTAAAGTTACCATTATCAACTCCAAATATTACTCACATCTGGTGAAAGCAGTTTGACGTTTTGCTGCTTTAGTGTCAAATGAGAAGCAGTCCCTAATGAAGGTATGAGTGTCCAGAAATCAAAATCCCCTTTGTAACTTGTCAGTACCGTGGCAGTGCAGAAGATGGATTCATTTTTTTAATACAATTCCTCCAACTAGAACAGGTGCTGGACATCAACAATAGGTCCTGAAATTCTTCTATATCAAGAAGTGGTCAAAGGGGATGCTTCAGTGTCTAAATCCACTCCCTTAAGGAAAGCGGCTTTTGAAATGTTGTGTAAAGCACCAAAGTAAATTAATAAACACCTAACTTTTGGAAATCTCTTAACCACCTTGGGAGTCTGAATGCTGAACTCTGGTGCTTTAAAGAGTCAGCCGAAAGAGAAATGCCGCATTGTCTTATTTGTAGAAAAGAAGTTAGACTCTTTTTCTCCCAAAACTCTGGAGCCCATGTGGCAGAGAGTGCATCTTTCCCAGCCAGATTTATAGGGTGAGACTTGGTCATTATGAGAAACGTAGAAATGGAAGTTTATTTTTTTTTCTCTCCTATACTAGACATATGCTTCAATGTGTTCTCCACGGAAGAAGTTAACTTGTAGGGGAACTCGGGAGAAGTTCAAAGGGGGAGCAGGACGCTGCTCCGATTCTCTTCCCCTCAGCCTTCCACCTAGCTCAGCCTCGTCCTGACATGCAGATGACACCAAAACACAATTAAACAGAAATGCAAACTGGAAGAGGCTGAATGCACCAGGGGCGCAGTGGCAACCAGCTGTCAGCTCTTATTAGCTTCTGCATAAAACATACCTTGAGTGTGGGTTGTTATCAATTACTTGCTGAAACGAAACAACTGGGGTAAGGCAAGACCGCCACCGCTCATCTGAATTATGGTGATTGGTTGATTGATCCGGACACCTGTTGTAAATCATAACTGTTCCAAACAATCGCCAGCCGGTGCCTTAATTTGTAAACAAAATTCATGTCACTGCTTCGCTCTTACTGGAGATGAGCATTTGAGTACTCTTCTAAATGGATCTTGCTCTTGTTTTAAGTGGGGGAAAATAGGGCTCATTATAAGGTAGCTCTTATTTCTCCCTCTTTCGCCAACCCCCACGCGCACCCCATCTTTAGTGATTTTTTTTTTTTTTTTACTTTAGACAAGTTTGGGTCCAGTCAGAGAAGAGGAAATTCCATAAAGATCATTGACATTAGCCGTTTTTCTCAGAGAACGGTGGTATTAATCTTCACCCTCAAGTACCTAATGAGGTAGTGTTATCCTGGGGAGGATCGTGGAGGAAATTGAGATCAGGATCTCTGCGAGGTGTCCAAGGTCACAGAAGAAGCACGTGACCAAATAGGTTTTGTCTAGGTTCACAGCATGATCCAATATTCAAGGTCTAACTGGGCTATGGGAAGCGTCTCTCACATGTCCTCTGGTCTTGGGTAAGTTTCCAGAGGAATGCTGACATTTGGGTCGGTTCACAGCACTGGGAACGCAATACAGCTGGGAAGCACTGGAGTAGCCGCCTCACCTACTCTTTCCACTTGGTGGCTGCCCAGGGTTGGCTTTCCCAGGTGACTCGTCCTGTCCTATCAACCATCGGTAATGTTAATGAAGCCCGGTCACCTTTATGGAAACTTTTTTTCTTTTTTTTTCCCCTTTCTCCATCTTTCTCTAGTTCCTGTCCCTCCCAAATCTGTGACTTCTCTAATGATGAATAAAGATGGCTTCTTGGGAGGAATGTCAGTCAACACCGGCGAGGTATTTTGCTCAGTCCCAGGCCGTTTATCTCTACTCAGTTCAACTTCAAAGTACAAAGTTACTGTGGGTGAAGTTCAGAGAAGGCTCTCGCCCCCTGAATGCCTCAATGCGTCTCTCCTGGGCGGCGTCCTCAGAAGGTAAAACAAAATAAAACAAACAACACACACACACACACACACACACACACACACACACACACACACGATTCTATTAGAGGTGGAGGATAGTGGAGATTGAGGGAGAACGTTTGATGCGGTTGCCTAGCAACCCGGAGTCCATGTGCATCCTCAAATAGCAGGAAGGTTGAGGTTGGGGGTCTGACGTTCTAGTGCTACGTTTGCTCTGTAACCAACCCCGTACCCGTGCCAGATCACACTGCGCATGTGCTACCCTCCTTGACAAGTCGGGACTGGGAACCTTTCACTTTCTCGCTGGTGCAAGGTTCTCAACTACAAGAACTCTCTGTTCTTAGCCTGAGTTCAACCCAGAACCTATTCACGCCACCAAGCACGCTCATTTGAAACATAAAAGGCAGTTTCCAGCATGCTGTCCTGTCCGTATCCACTTTACTAGTTTTAAAAGATTAATGCACTAGCACAATATGCTTGAAGATCTTTTTCTAGATCTGACCTTTCAATAGTATCACATCTCACAACATTAATAGTACTTTATAACTATTAGTAGTCATTTCCTGGGGCTATGTAGATGCTCGCCAAAAATCACAACCCATGGGCAGACTCCTGGTGAAAATGGAGGAAGAAATGGCCTCCCCTCCCTCCCCCGCAACAGTTCTTCCCAACATCTGGATCCTTGGCACTGTCCTTGCTAAGTGACTTGCATGAGATACAATTTTCTGAAGGTAAACCCATTTCAGATGTTCGCCATCCCTTTCTTTCCTAAAAGTTGCTGGCTAAATAGTACAGCAATGGGGTTCACACATGATAACCAGCTTCCTTTTATTTTTGCACAGTCCTTAGAGGATATGGACAGCCTACAGGGATCCCAAGTGTTGGTGTGACCCAGGGATGTTCTTAATTTGAATCCTCTTCTACTGTCTTTGCTTGGTTTAGTTTTCAAGTGAGTCTTTTGAGCTTCATAACCAGGCTGGTTTTTTTTTATTGTAATTATGATTATTATTAATTTTAAGACAGATTTCTCTGTATAGCCCTGGCAGTTCTGAAATTCACTTTGTAGACTAGGCTGGCCTGCAACTCAGAGATCTGCCAGTCTCCACTTCCCAAGTGCTGGGATTTAAAGGTGTGCGTTACCCCACCTTGGTGTCCAGAGTGTTTTAATTCAATTCCTGAACATGAGTGTATAACATGTGCTGAGATAGTGAATACAAAGTTCTCATCATATTAACAAGGTCAAAAGTCTTAGGATTGTTGTTACCATGACGACAAACATCATTTGAGTACAAAAGTCAGTCTTCTCTCCCCTTTGTTTTAAACTTTAAAATATTTGGTGCTATTCTTCCTTTAGAAGCCTGGTGGTTTCTGGAATCTTGCCCTCTTCTTTCCCCTACTTTAAAAAGTTTATCTGGATTCTGTTCTACTCACGTACTCCATGGCAGGGGGTGAACCTGTGCATAACCTGTCTATAAGATGAGCAATATTTACCTTTTCTGGATCCACTGCCCTACATTCTAATTATTCCCATCTGGTCCAATTTCCCCCTCACAATATACGAAAAACAAAACACAACAAAACAAAACAAAATCCAAGACTTACTTTTTAATGCTCTGTATTGCAGAAATTAAGCAAACCTCAGCAAACTGTCAGCAAATAACTAAAAGGAAGGGGTTGGGGGTGGGGGTAGTGCTAACCTCAAGTTAAAGCCTCTTCAGGCTCCACTGGGCTCTAGATTGCTAAGTCTAAACGTTGTTTCAGGAACACTCTGAGGTTAATCAGAATGTTAATTCTTGCCATTGCAGAGCAAAATCGAAAAATGGGGGGAGATCCTTGAGAGAAAGGCTAGAAAAAATCGGTTTGAATTTACCCGCGGGCAGGCGCAAAGCAGCAAATGTCACGTTACTCACCTCCCTGGTAGAAGGTAAGCAAGAATTGTGCCCATTTCACCAAGTGGCGGAGCTTAAGTGTCCACTGGAGGCTGACATTTTACACATTTCATGATTAACTGGAAATCATTGTGATTGCTGTGTCCTTATGAGTAAGATGGCAAAGGGATGCAAGGAGAGAAGTTCATAGGCCTTTTTACTTAGAGGGGGCCAGCAGTTGCAGAAAAGCAAACACTTGAATGAATATATATATATATGTATTCATATATATATTCATATATATTCATATATATTCATATATTATATTCATATATATTTTTTTTCCTATCCTCTGAACAGGGCTCAGGCCCAGTTTCTAAGTCAGAGCAGGGGTCACTTCCCTTGCCACAGTGGCTAAAGCATTCTCTGCTTGAACTCCTGCAAACTGCAATCAAAACTCTTTGCCCTTCTCTAACTTCATCTCTAAGTGTTACTAGCAAACAGCAGGGGACTGGTGAGGATACAGGCACTTGCTTTCAAGCCTGACCACCTGATATCCATCTTCAAGTCCCACAAGGTGGAAGGAGAGAGAGAGCTGTCTTGGTTTACCCCCCACCTTGATGTACTCAACCCCCTATAAATGTAATAAAACTTGAAAAGTGTAAAAACGTATAGTGTTTGTGGGTGTTAATGCTTATTTTAAAGCTCCTGACCATCCTACCTACTTGGACTTGATGAGGTATTGACACCTTAGTAAGTCCAGCGATGCTTAAGGGAAAACTGTGCAGGGGGTTATGAAAAACACTTGGAGAGAAGAGTTGAAACTTCAAGGCAAATTCATTACTTGTAAATTAAATTCCCATAATGACTTTGAGAAACTTCTAATTTGTCTGTCAGTTTGGGTTTTGAGATGAAATCTATGGCCTGTGATAATTAATAACTCTGCAGTCTAGAGGAAGAGTGTCTGTAGTTGAATGTGTAGAGGAGACAGACAAGAAGTACAGCCAGTTGGTACACATGGAAGACCAGCGGAGAATTTTCTCTGGAATCTTCCTTGTGTGTCCTGTTTTTGTAGTTGACATGGTATTATGACTCTTGGAAGAAGTTGGCTTTTGCTGGACAGCATCTTATGTCTTATATTATTTAAATGAGGAGATCAAGGAGTTATTTGTTTTGCTTTTTACCATCTTTAAAGCAAAGATTTTGTTTTGTTTTGTTTTGTTTTGTTTTACTTGAACTCTCCCACCAGAGGCCTTAAGTCATCACATTTTTAAATTCTACTTGGTAGCAGTTGAACCTTCTTAGCATGTGGGTATTCCATTTTGCCTTTATTAAAAAAAAAGACTTTATTTGTTTTATGTATATGAGTACATTGTACCTGTCTTTAGACATACCAGATGAGGGCATCAGATCCCATTATAGATGGTTGTGAGCCATCATGTGGATGCTGGGAATTGAACTCAGGACCTCTGGAAGAACAGTCAGTGCTCTTAACCACTGAGCCATCTCTCCAGCCTTCCATTTTGTCTTCTAGAGAATCATTAATATCAAAAACCTCATTTTGAAAACAGGCAAGGTAATCTTAGCAGGAGACAAAGATTTTTGAAGGAAAAGAAACTAGAAACCACGCTGAAATGACAGTATTTGCTGTGTAATTTTTGGTATAATGAATCCTTGTAAGCACCATGCTTGAAGTCTTTTGTTATTATATCTTTAAAAAAGTAAGTCATTTTCTCTCAAAATAATGTACTCATGAGATAATTCAACACACCTATTTTTTTTTACCCTGTTTGTGATCGTTCTTTAAATTCCCAAGGCTGTGCTTTGGAAAAGGTAATGATACCATATATAGAAGGGCAAGCTATGGCGTGTCTAGCATGACCTGGTGTTTGCAGTTCCATTTTGTACAGTAGAAGGTCTTTAAGTAGGAGGAGGATGACAGAAATCTCTGAAAAGGAGAAGACCAAAAACAGCAAGGAGAGTGCAGGGTCAATAATTACTTTGCTGCAGAATATAAATACTCTTTTCATACACATGCGGGCGCGCGCACACACATACACAAACGCACACATGTGTTACATACCGTTATTACTCTGCAGCAACATTTACATATGTAGATTTGTTTATGCATATTAGTTTGCCAAGGGAACTGTAGGAAGATGGTGGTGACTTTCAAATTTTATTTCAAGCAAGTGTAACTGGTGCTTTAAATAGAAGAGAGGAGTCTGGGTAGCCTATCCCTCCTCAGGTCTAAATTAAATTGTAAGGTGGTTCTTGAATCTAAGGCCACTTCCCTCTAAGCCAATGTGAGTTATCTGCAGGAAGCCCCATGTCTCTTGGGAGGGGGCGGTGTCTGTTTAGAGCCTGGCTCAGCCAGAGGCTGGTAGAATAAGATTTGTCCTGTTCATTTGAGTTATGAAGTTCATCTTTACTTTTAGTCTCTGTCTCCGGTTTGACTTTGTTGTGTAGTACCTGGCCTCAGGTGTTAGGTTGATTCTCTGCTGCTCTCCTTACAGGGGAAGCTGTTCACTTAGCTCGGGATTTTGGGTATATTTGTGAAACAGAGTTTCCTGCTAAAGCCGTGTCCGAGTATTTGAACAGACAGCACACAGACCCCAGTGACCTGCACTCCAGAAAGAATATGCTGCTGGCCACCAAGTGAGTTTCCAAGTCTCTGGGCGCTGGTCCAGGACTCCCTCCCTGACCCAGGTCCACTTAGGAAACTGCTGTGAGTGCCTTGACAGAGCTTTGCTTTCAAACAACAGGGAGGGTAGGAAGCTGGTTGCTTCTCTGGGGTGGAGTATGCGGGGTGGCGGGTAGTCTTCTCTCTTCTTCTCCCTTTACAAAGAGAATTTGGTTTTTAACAGTTTCCTCAACACACAGTTCTGAGGTATCAGGCAGATTTTCTCAAAGTCTCTTCCCAGATACCTAGGTGAATATTTCTGTCTGGGCTTTGCTCTGGTCTCCCTTGCCATCAGAGGGATAGCAATATGTATTCGCTCAGGGTGCCTCTATGTCACCCATGCGTGCCCATCTCTACCCACAGCTCTAATTACTCCATATCCAAGGTTGCTGTTTGTCATCTTCCACGGACTTGTAAAATTTACTACAACTCCAGAGGGGAAAACAGTAAATCTCTGGCTAAATTTAGGTCTAGAGCTCATTTGAACATTTACAGTGGGTTTTCTATTTATTTGATTTACTCCTGTCTTTGGCTTCGGTGTCATATTGTTGATGTTTTATGACCAGCTCAGGCCTGCAGTGGGCGGCGCTGCGTGCACCAGCACGTTTCTCTGTCGCAGGCCCGGCCTAAACAGCAGCGTTCATTTATTCAGCGTTCCAGGACGCGGTTTGTTCCGTTGACAGCGTAATTTAAAGAAATATATGGAAGGCTGAAAAATCATTTGCTCAAATTTGTCCAGATGTTTTTGAGACGTGATTGGAATTTGATTGCCCCTTTCCGCAGGGTCAAAAAATATTAATGTCCCAGAACTTTAATTGCTTACAGAGCCTGGGTTGAGCTGTGCAAATTTTTAAAGGCTTGAGTCTTAAGCATTTGTTCTCAGGATTACAAAGTTTCCTTTGGGGGGGGCACGTTGGAAATGAGTACAAAGTTAAGACTACAACCAATGATCAAAACCTGGCCCCACCCTCGTTTTAGAAGGTTTCCCTCCAATGTACCATCATCTTGCAGTATAATAGATTTTTTTTTTTTGTCGGTAGGTTTCCCTCTTCCTCTTCTTCTGGTATATGGTAGTAAGGACCAGTTGTTAGGGAAGAATAAAATAATTTAAAAACAAAACTAACATGTCTAAACTAGACAACAAGATCCACAAAGCCTCCTTATTTCTTAAAGGATGATTTGACTCTCCCTCCCTTCCCAGATAAACACACACACACACACACACACACACACACACACACACACACACACAGCCTCATTTGGAAACCTTATAACTTTTAAGGCCACTATTCTTTAGCCTAGGTTAACAGAATCACCTTGGAAGCTTCCCCACAACACTCATTCCTGGACCCCTGCCACACTCATTCATTTCTGGACCAATCCCCAAACCCTTCACATTGGAATGATGGAAGGGAGGTGAGTCAGAGCCTGGGAGTGTGTATGTGAACCTCACTGACAGAGGCTCTATTAGGTAAGCACAGTCACTTGTAGGTATATATGTATACATTTTGAATGGAGACCTGAAAAGGTAGGAAGACTCTATCTTTATCCAGAGGCCTTGGAAATACCAATCTTTCTCTGTTGCTGTCAGTGGGTGGAGAAAGAGAGTCCCCATTTGGCTTATTACTAGCCTTGGGCAATGCAGTAGCGCCCAGGAGAAGAGTACCCCAAGGGTCTTTCAAACCCAGAAATCTGCCCTGATTACCTGAGAGTCAGGTTACTTGTTAGTTGCTAAGTGCTCTTTCAACCATTCCTTGACCAAATAGGTCCAGTTTGCTATATATGTTTGCTTTTCTTGACATCCCAGAGAACCAGAGGCTGGGTGAAGGAAGGAAGTCAGGAGACACCTGCCAATCTGAGAAAAGGCTGTGGCCTCAGAGGACGCCATGCCTCAGCTTGCCAGCAGAGCCTAGCCATTTGACCTTCAGGGCTAAACCCCTCCCGTTCATCCCCTATATTAAAAATTTCTCAAATAAGCCCAATCCATACACACGGGGTTCCTAAGGCTAGGAGAGTACTCTAAATTGTAGGTGCCTTGAGGAAATTAAAACCTTCAACAAATAAAAATCTATCATCCCTAGTGTTTTAACCATCTACCTCTAAGTTTTATTTAAACTATGAGGAAATCCTTTTATATTGACAACCATCCTGTTACACAAAAATTTTTAGTAGCTCACATACGCAAAAAAAGGGGGTCATGAGATTTTTTTTTTTTTAAAAAGAAAGGAAGAGATCTTTCATCCAAAATGCTGCAGGTAGATAGGTTTTGCTTTGAATGAAATCAGCATTCTCTCCTAGAATAAACAGGTTTTTGCCCTGGGCCATGCAAGGCTACCACAATCTGCTTCTATGCCAGGGACAGGCTTGTGGCTGAGGGGCTTAAATCTTTCAGTTTGTGTGTGTGTGTGTGTGTGTGTGTGTGTGTGTGTGTGTGTGTGTGTG